ATATATATATATATATATATATATTCAACATCTTTAGTATCTAATCTATTATAAAGATCACTAAAAACAAATTTTTAAGCATCACAGATTATTCTCTTAGATTCCCTACGGGCTGTTTGATATTTTCTCAGTTCTCTAAGCTTTTATATTTAAACCAATTTTTATAGCACAACTTCTTATATTTTAAATTTTCTTGCACATTATTATTCCACCAGCAATTATTTTTATTTATAAAAACTTTTTCTTTTGATTCTCCAAGTCTAACTTTTGTCACTTGTTTAATAATGTTTGTTACTTTACCCCACATATAATTTGTTTCTTCATGTTTGAACTTTTAAATTTTACTATCTAAATAATTTTATTTGTGTATTTTAGGTACTCACATCTAACTCTACAACGATGATTGCTAGTGTTGTTTTATTTTACACTCTTCATCTTAAAATCTAGAACTAATAATCGATGTTGAGTAAGAAATGATGGTGATGGAATAGATCCCTTGATTTTTGATGATATTATGTATAATGATGAATGCATAACATCTAAGAATGATGAAACAATTGATTTTGAAGATGAAAAAATAACATTGAATGATGATTGTAACGAAGATATAAATGTTAACAATGAAAGAAGCGAAAAAGATATTGAATTCAGAGGAGCTTCTACTTTACAACCATTCAAAAAAAAAAAAAAAGAAACAAAGTATGGGTTGGAGCTTCAAAAAAAAAATCCAACTGTATTCCATAATTAAAATATAGTTGATTACTTAGTTGTGTTACTAATTTACTATTTTATTTTAAGTTATATTGAATTCAATATTAAATGATGTAGTGAGTAAGTTGAAAGATATGAAAATTGAAGAAGAATTTGACGATGATGATAACACAAAATTCGAAGATGATAGAGTTATTCAATTTTGTGATTCTTCTGAAGATGATGAAAATGATGATGATGCCATTATGGATTCTAATTCTTGTAGCATATTTAAATTCTAAGTTTAATATTTAAATCTTATTTCAAACTTTTATTTTATATTTAGGAAAACCATACACATATGTTATTACGTTAAATCTATTGACATGTTTAAATTCTAAGTTTAATAATTAAGATTTGTGGTTTGTCAAATGTCATATTTATGAATTATGTTTAATTTTATGAGTTTTTATTTTTTTATTTTTTGTTTTGAGGCTTATGCCTCGATCCCCCTCGAGGCTTACCCATCACCTCACAAAGGAAAAAAAATGCATTAATTCCCAAATTTGCCTTTTAAAACATTGCTAGTAAGAACGGTAAGAAATTGAATGGCAATGCCCTATTAATGGCCTTTACCATAGGAAACACTCTCCCGAATTTCTATAAGCAGTTATTCTTAGAAATAACTGCTAGAAATTAATTAGTTTCCTTTCCAGTTATTTCTTATTCGTTGTATTTCCTAGTTTATGACTTTTCATTTATCATTGAGTAGTTATTAGGTAGAAATCTGGGTATTATATTTTTCCTATTTTAGAATCATTGTATTATGTATTTATACCCCTTTCAATGACAATAAAATTATCCTGCATAATTGCCAAAACCTACATGGTATCAGAGGTAGGTTCTTACCTTAGTCGCCAGGACATTACCCTAGTCACCGGAACTTCCCTGCAGGTCTTCCCCTGCAATTTTTCAGCCGCATGATCCCTGCCCTGCAAGCACTTCCGCCGTTGTTCTCTCCCCTCCAGGTTCTAGCCATTAGTACCCTTTCCTACGGGCTCTCCCGCACCGATCTCTCCCCTGCTGGCTGTCCCGCCTCCAGACCTCCCTCTTGCCAGTTGGAATGTTCCCTTGTAGGTCGTATTTTGTTATAGACAGCATAAGGGATCATCTACATCTATGTCTCGGCACCAAACCTCACATTTGGATTTGTCGGAGTCATGGTTGATTCATCCACTATCACACATTCATCTGACATTGTCCTTGAGTCCACCGGAAGATCAATACCTACGTCAATCCCCCCGTAGACCGGAGGAGATGACAACACAATGAATTTTCCAATTACCACTTAAACTCAATGACTCGAATTTCCTCCAATAGTCTCAAGCTTTTGTTGTTCAATAAGGTTGGGGTAAATTCAGCCACCTCACAGATACGATTCGTGAACCTCCAAAGACTGACCCAGCAAATGCAGCATGGAAAGTCCAAAACTCCATGGTTATGTCATGACTAAAAAATTCTATGGAGACCACGATTGACCGTTCGTGCATGTTTCGTTCGTCTTCTAATGCTCTCTGGACTGCCATTTGAGATACCTACCTGAACGTAGGAAATTCTAGACCACTCTATGAAGTTTCTAATAAGATCCACGAAGCAAAATAGGGAACAAATACAGTGACAATACTAAGATTTGGTTGTCATATGGATGAAATGGAACCTCTACTATGATTACATGTGGGACTCTCCCGCGGATATTTCCTTCCAAAAAATTTCTAGAAAAGGATCGGGTGTTCCAATTTCTAGTGGGCTTGAACAAGGAACTCAATGAAGTTCGTGGTCGTATACTTGGTTGTGATCCTCTTCTTTCAACCAGAACAACATTCATCGAGGTCCGCTGCAAAGAAAGCTGGAGACTTGTCATGTTCAATAATTCAATTGAGTCTTCAGTCTTGGTCTCCAACAGTGCTCAACACTTTGCCACACACAACAATCACTCCATAAGTGACTTGTCACAAACCCTATCACAATAAAGATAAGTGTTGGAAACTGCACGGGAAGCCGACAAATAAATCTTTAACCAAATCTTTCGTTACTGAAGGTCTCGTTACAATCTCAGAATCCACAATAGTTCAGCTAGTCCGCACTCAAACCATCCCCAATCACCAAACTCCAACACTTAATTAAGTTGCTTGGATCTAGTCAGTTCTCCAGAGGCCGTCAACCTCCATATTTGTTAAGGTAACATTTCTATGATACTTACTAATTTTTCTTCTAGTCCTTGGATTATTAATTCAAATGTCACTGAACAAATGACTGTGTGCTCTCAATTATTCTCGACATATTCTCCATGTTTCGAGCGAGCACTACTGAAATTTTCGGGGCTCCTATATTTCTATTGCGTGTAAAGGGTCAGTTGTGCTAGTAGTGTTACATGTACCTTTGCATAAGTGTAACCTCTTATCGGTCAATAAATTGACATATTATATTGACTGCGTTGCTCATTTTTCTCCTAATGTTTGTCTTTTAGGATCGTCGTTCGGGGATGATGACTGAAACTGCTAAGCTGATAGTCGAGCTCTACTTCTTCCAAAAGAATGACATTGATGAAGTGGACACTCAATCTCATAGTTGTAGTTTTACCCTCTACTAGTCAAATTATGCTTTTACATTGTACCTTGGGTCATCCAAGTTTAATGATAAAAATTCATCTATTTTTTCAAACAATTGTAATTGATATTTATTGATAAAAATCTATTTATTTTTAAATGTGAAATTTATCATTTAATTAAATAACATTGTGTAACATATTTACTTCATTACACTCGTCCAATTTCACTAATTCATAGTGATTTATGAGGGCCCTCTCCAATTGCATGCTACACCAGTAAATGGCAACTCCTTACTCTAATTGATGACCAAACTCGGAAAACTTAGGTCTATATATTAAAGGACAAATCTGAAGCTGCAGTCACATTCAAAAATTTTGCACTACTTTTTCTTAACTCAATTCAAAACCTCCATTCTGGTCCTTTACATCGATAATGGATGCGAGTATTTACCTTGATATTCGGAGAATTCTTGGCGAGCAAAATCATCCTCCATCATAGCTCCTTTACAGATACCCTTCCATAAAAGGACAAATATTTACGTACGGAGTACGCACGCAATTCTGCGTGCGTATAGAGGTTATTCGAGAGGTATTGGAGGGTTATATCTATGTTAATGGGGTTGAAACCTACAATAATCTGACAAAACTTCCGAATAACATCAAAAAATATGAGCGCAGAATCGCGAAATGTATTGGTAAGTTATTAGGGGGTTACTAACTGAGTTATTGGAAAGTTATTTGGGGAAACACACACTCAAAACCACGTGTGTACTCCGTACGTAAATAGCGCTCCCACATAGTCATTCTTGACAGATTTACTAATTGAGATAAAGCTATTACTTCACAAACCGGTAGCTGTTCTGATGGTTCCCTATGAGAAATTCGCAGACATTTCCAATGTCGTTCCGGTGAACAAGACACACTACCAACGCCTAGTAGGGAAACACATTTACCTATCCCATACGCGTCCGAAGATTTGTCAAGTCGTTGATACTGTCAGTCAGTTCATGCATGATCCCCACGAGCACCATCTCACCGTTGTCCATTGGATCCTCCATTACTTGAAAAGCACGCCGGGCTCAGGTTTGTCGTTCTCTTGTCACACCTCTTACTCTGTTGCAGTTTATATAGATGTCGATTGGGTTGGGTCCATCCATGATCGACGATCAACCTCGGGTTATTACTCATTCGAATGGGGAAACCTTGTAATGCGGAAAAGTAAAAAAGTTTGTGGTTGCCCGTAGCAATGCTGAAGCCGAGTTTTGTTCTACATCCCAAGAGGTATGTGAAGCAGGTATGTGAAGCCCTCTGGTTTCGCGTCATGCTTCATGAGTTACGTATATCGGTCTTCGTTCCTTTGCAGTTGTATTGTGGCAATAAAGCCTCCATCAACATTCTGTATAATCTGATCCAACATGATCATACCAAACATATGGAGATTAACTGTCACTTTATCAAAGAGAAACTTGATTCAGGAAAAATTTGTATTCCTTTTGTCCCATCCATAGGTCAACTCACATATATTCTCATAAGAAATCTTCCTCGGTCGTTGTTTAATGATTTCAAATCTAAATTGAAAGTAATTGACATCTATGCTTTAACTTGAGGATGGAGTGTTAGAAATTATTTAATTTTTTTTCCGGTGATTTCCTATTTGTTATATTTCCTAGTTTATGACTTCACATTTATCATTTAGTGGTCATTAGGTAGAGATTTGAGCATTATATTTTTTATATTTTAGAATCATTGTATCATGTATTTATATACCTTTCATTCGCATCAATATTATCCGTCTCAATTCACAAAACCTACAATAACATTTACATAGAAGATGAGCTGAAAAGTAACTCATTAAGCTAGTTAGTTCATTATTCCAGACTTCCATGCGTTACCTGAATTTTAGCAATAATGTACGCATAAAAACATTAAATCAGACATGTTTCAGTGAAATAGGTTATAAGAAAGTAACCTCGCAAAAAGTTCCATAAAGTCCGCTGGGGCAATCCTTTCCTGTAACAGTACCATTTCCCCCAATAAAACCTCGACCAGAGCTCATACCTCCCCTATCAAAAGGAAAATATAGAATTAAATGACCCATTAAAATGAAAACTACATGTATTATTAAACTAAAATATAGTCCAAGAAAAAAAAAATAAAGCATAATGTTTCCAAATAACAACTATAAAAATTAAAGATGCCAAATGTTTAGTAAACAGCTACATTTTAACCATCAAAGATAATCACTATTTAAAAAAAAAGATCATCAATATAATTCTATTGAAAAATAAGAAAAAAAAATTTAACCATGAATCATTGTCAGAAAATTAACTTATGATTGAAATTAAGTGAAACAATGCTTAAATAAAGCAAAAGTCTCAATAGATGCTATCTAGCCGTACAGTAAAAACAGATTATAAATAAAACGCAAACTTTTTCGATATCACAACTACAAAAATTTAAATTGAAGAGCTGAGAATAATTTGCCATGAAAGTGAAGCAGCAAAAGAAATTAAGCTTAATTTTAGTAATTTTGAATCTATCAAGAACTCTAACCATATTATATATGCGCGCGCGCACACACACACACATATCTATCTATATCTATATTTATGTATGTGTATAGATGGCAGGATCTAATTTGGGATCTCAACTACAAAGATAGATATATATATATATATATATATATATATATATATATA